GCGCATCCTACTGCAGGCGGCACTCGACCGCGCGGACGACCACGAGCTGGCACGCATACTGCTGCAGTTTCTATGCCAGGTCAGCACATCAAATCACTTAACAATATAATAAAGACAAATATGGTAAAGAAAGGAAGAGGTTAAGTAGAGTTTTGTATATTTTGATTCCAACATACGAGTTAGTTGACCATAGATTTATTTGGTGACTAGTATAAAATGTTTCAGTTTAATCTGGATGTGGCATCACAAAACAATTGTTGAAAACTAGCTTAAACTATATACTAGCTGTTGCTCGCGACTTCACTCGCGTGAAATTAAAAAAAATATAAAAATATAGCTTATGTTATTCACTGATAACGTAGCTTTAATGGTGTAAGAATTTTTGAAATCGGCACAGTAGTTTTTGATTTATTTCAAAATACAAAAATGCAAATCTTTCCTCTTAATAATATTAGTATATAGCAGATAGAGTGCGGGACTCAAAGTCTTATTCGTTAATATTAGATTTTAATTGTGGGAGGGGGTCTGGGCCACGCCCCTTTTTCTATCGACCAATGACTACGTTGTTTATTACAGACAGCAGTGAAACGCAAGCCGCAGTGCTGCCGGCAGCCGTGCGAGGTGGCGGCGCGCGAGGCTCTGCCACGCCTGCTAGCGGCACATCCCTACCTTCACGCCATCAGTCTTCATGTACTGGCAGACTTGAACCACGGTACAATATTTTATACCAAACTTACTAAATTTTTCCATTAAATTGTCAACAAAACATTTATTTTCTTGACGTTTGCTTACTTAATTTTGTCGTTGGATTTAAATTTCAGTAAAGGTGTGGTAAATGGTATGAATCTTATTAATAAAAAATCTATGTATAGGTGAACCCGTAGATCCATCAGCAGTCAGCTACTTGTCAGTGCAAGAATGGCGTCCGAACTACGACGAGGTGCTGGGAGTGCTGGAAGACTGGTCGCTGAAGTGCCCGCATCTAATAGAACATCTACTGCTGCAGATGGAATATACACCTCATCAGTAAGACATTTCACTGACTTCTGTATGATCTGAAACATATGTTTATTTCAGGCAAACAAGTAAATTAAATTCAGGCCAATCTTTATTTTATAAAAATTTCTTAACGTAAATAAAGATTTGCCGTATTCAGTCACTAAATAGATACTGGAATACTCCCTTAGGATAAACATTTAATTACGTGTTAACACTAAGAGGGAGTTCCTTTAATTCCTCTAACTCAACGATTTTGACAACAAGTAATAGTATAAAATATTCGACAGAGGTGTATCGCTGGAGACGCAGCTGGCAATGGGGGCGTGGCTATGCCAGCATGTGGGCGGGGGTGGCGGGGCGAGTGAGTGGGCGTGGTCTGTGCTGGAGCGGCTGCGCGTGCACCGCTCGCAGTGGGCGGTGCCGCTCGACGCCTCGCCCCCACACGCCGAGCCGCAGGACGTGTTCTCTACTGCATTCGCACTGTTAGCTACCAGCTGGGGACATTCTGTGCCTTTGGTAAGTATACTTATTGTAAAGCAAAGTAAAAATAAAGATAAAAAAGTGTAATATTGAAAAAGTTAAATCATCTTTCGAAGATGTTTGTGCGTTACAAATAACGAATATTGTTTTTTTTTTAATAATTTTTGTCTCTGTCTAAACATTGAAAGGGCTTGGCCGATTTTGACTGGAAGTCAGCTGATTTATACTTGAATATTATCGACTACTTTTGTTTAATATCCGCGCTGACGAAACCCCGAGCGATCGCTAGTTAAATGCATACCAATATCAATACTTGAGTTGAGACATTACTAGTAAAAGTTATAAAAACCGCATTATCAATATTTTGGCTGCTGCAACACAGGGTACAGGAGTAAAGGCTCCCATGAAATGTATAATTAGTGTGAAATAATAAATAATTTAGTTTATATAATGTATACAAATTTGTAGATATGTTCTGTGGGCGTGCGCGCGCTGGTGGGCGTGGCGCGGGCGCGTGCGGGCGCGGCGGCGCGCTGCCTCGTCGCCATGATGCGCGCTGTGCAGCACACGCCTGAATCAGTCGCGCTTACACCAGAGTTAGTTTCATGTCACTTGTGTCTACTGTCTACATCATTCCAGTCCAGTAAGACAGTGGCCTAGTTTGGAATTTTTAGACTCACTGGAACCTTTTAGTGTCAATATTAAGTCAGTTGTATGCCAGCACCACACAATTTTACTTTACTATCCAACTGTCCTGGCACGGTGTGAACTAGGCATGTTAGATTGTCCACTGTCCCTACAAGTAGTGACTTTTAAAAGTAAAAAGGTAGAGGGGTAATATTTTTAATTGCATTTTATAAGTATTGCGATTCTTCTAGATTCACAGAGGTGTTTAATATCCTACTCGGTTCCGGTCCATCTCTAATGGCTCGTGCGTTAGGCCGCGCGGGGCCTTCCAGCGCTGAGTTACTGGAAAAGGCGCTTCTGAACGAATTACTTACACAGTAAGTAAAACTTCAAACTACTTGTTGAATTCACTATAATGTCAAATGTATTAATAAAACAACCTTTTTAGGTTTTTTTCGAGGTTATATTGTAGTTGATTTCGCTGAAGTACATATTCGAGAAAATATCTAAATTGCCTTTAACTAATAGGCAATATGCAAATGACGCCAAATGCGACAAACTTTTTTAAACATTATTTATTACTAAATAAAAACATACTCGTAAAGATTTTTTTTAATATAATGAGATGAAGTGGCGAAATTTAATGATTAGTTATTTTATAACAAGTAGAATCGTTTAAAAAATACATGCATTTATTACGTTTATTCTAAAAAAAGTAATTGTCAATTACAGGTCAAATAATGCGGGTATTCTGAACCCGTGGTTGCGTGGTCTATGGGCGCCTGGCCTGCCCGCCGCGGCGCGCGCGCTGCTCGACACCGCGCTGCGGGCGGCGGAGGACGTGCCCGCGCTCGATACTGTCGTCTCGCTCATGCTGCAGGTAAACACATAAGAGAAAAGAGATAGACATCTTTATCAACTCCATTAAAAAAAAATTGGATTTTTGATATCTTTAGCGATTCAATCGTCCTTAACCTTTACAGTACATATTAAAAATTTATTTACACTAAGTTATTTAATATTACTTCTTGCTAATTGTATAAAAGATAAAGTTTAAATGGATGGATGAATGTTTGTTAGAGTTTGTAGCCCAAACTGCTGAACGGATCTCGATGAAATTTGGCACAGATGTACATAGTCTGGATATACATAGGTTATTTACTTTTTTTGTAAATACCACGCGAACGGAGTCGCAGGCGAAAGCTAATAATTACCAATGTAATGAATAATTTAGTGTAGATTTATTATGTGATATCTACACAAAAGGGCTTTAAAGATTGGATACAGCAGTTAAACATGTTGTATTTTGTAACTTTTTAATGTTCATTGTTTAAGATTTTTCTAACGATTTTTTTAATGTTCTTAGAATGAAAATCATAGAGAGTTCCTAGACGACGCGGTACGTAACGCGTCAGTAGCTCCTGTGGTGTGCGAGGCGGCGCTGCGAGGTGCGCACGCGCAGTGCGAGCTGCCCGCGCTCATGTGGCCCCGCCTTATGGACGCGCTCGCACAACAACGAGCCCGGGGACAGAAAGTGCACGTTGATAACGCACTTAAGGTAAATAATCATCTCTGTCTTATCCCCTCCAAATAACTCTTCTCCTCTCAGTCATCCCTCCCTTGATCATGTCACCTTTCACGCAATCCAACTCTTTCTACCTCTACCGATGTACCTCCAAATTCATAACTAACGTTCTCCTTACATGCGATTCATCCCTCTTTATAACATGCCCCCATGCTAAGCCTTTACTCCTTATTTCTGTTGTCGTGGTAACCACCGGGCAAGCCGGCCCTACAGTACGAAGATGTTAAAGCGGGATCTACCAATGTTATCGTATAAATAGTAGTTTTTTTATATGTAATCCAGCAAATAGGTTGTACAATAAGTTCGGAGGAGCTAGTGTTGTACCGCGTGGCGAGCGCCGTGCTGGGCGCGCCGCTCGCTGCGAACCTCGCGCTTTGGCGGCTGCTCCTACATCTCTATCTACAGAGACCTCCCTCTAATCCGTAAGTCTGTTCGATTTCAACTTTAACAGCCTGTCCCACTACTGGCTGATAGAGGCTCGGATAGCTTTGCCACTGTCAGATAGAGTATTAAAATCAGATATTTCCATCACAAATTTTATACGTTGGATTGTTATTTGACATTGATGTTTCATATTGATAAAACGCTTATTTTTAACGCTAATTTTATTTTTGTAGTATCACGTAGGTCATACTAAATCAAGGGCAATTTAAATTAGAAAACATATAAGACTAACTGTTGCATGCGTCTTTGCCTATATAATAAAAATATGTCTATGTTTCTCACTGATAACGTAGCTTTTTTAATGGTGAAAGAATTTTCAAATCAGTCAAGTAGTTTTTGAGTTATTTCAATACATACAAAAATTTCGTCTTCATAATATTAGTATAGATAGTGTTTCATCGAGAACAGTAGCCAAAAATAAAATAAAGGTATTATGCCAATATAAAAGTAACCGGGCCAAATAAGTTTGTCATACTTTAGTGATTTATCAATTTTTTCGTATATTACCTGAAAGTCATATGTAGTCGGTTTTTTAATTATAACTTCTTATAGAATTAATATAACAAAAGTATTTTAATTGATTTATTTCAGGCAACTCACATCAATGCCAGTCGGTCCACTGTTCTTCAGTGGTATAATAAAATCCCGAGTACTATCACAATTAAAGAAACGTCTCAAAGAAACCATAGATTATCATAAAAAACAGAGCGACCAGTTGAAAAGTCAAGTCTACCCTCAAACAGAACAAATACCTACAACTAGCGAGTCTAGGAAACAAAATAATATTAAAACTGAACGGAAATTGTTTACACCAATAACTATTAATGATTTAATAGGAGAATGTAGAAGTGATTCAGAGAGTGAGTCATCGGAAGAAGAGATCACAGAAGAAAGAGTCAGTGAATCTTCTGCTTCGAGAGAGAAGTTCCATCTCTTCTGCTATCATTCTGGAGCTGTGAAGTGAGTTGTTTTCACAATTATTGCCAATGTTAAATATTAAAAAAAACTAACTGTTGCTCTCTACTTCGTTTACGTGGTATAAAAAGTAGTAAAAAACCATAGCCTATGTAAGTGATAAGCTTTTTAATGGTGAAAGAATTTTTAAAATCGGTCCAATAGTTTTTGAGTTATTTCAATACATACATAAATACAAATCTTTCTTCTTTATAATATTAGTATAGACTAGCTGAACCGTGCGGCTACGTCCGCGTGAAATTATAAAAACTTTATTTTATTGTTTACATTTGTGATATGTCAAAATACAAATGCATAAATGACAACCTTAGTTTCTTGATGTTGGCAGCTCGTATGGTCTGTTTCCCACATTAGGGCTTTTATCCAAAATATTTACCCCCTAAGTTTAATGGCGTGAAAATATATAGCCTAAATCGTGAAGTAAGTGCAGGGCTTTTTATTAGAAAAAGATTTATTCAAAAATATGTTGTAATTGCTGAGATCTTAGGCAACAAAGAAGTGTGTGTTTACGCTTTATTATAATAGTATAGATAATTCAATGAAATATATCTTCCAGATTTATAGTATAAAAATCTTTGTTATAATCGACTTTGCTAACGAATATACCAATTTAGTTACTTTATTAGTAGCTAAATGTAGTTTTTCTCTAAATCTACGCTAAGGGAGTCCCTTAACAGAGAACACAGATTGTGATAGTAAATGAGTTAATTCTTTATTTATTTATAGGATGTTATGTGAATATAATAGTTGGTTAACTGAAGGGGACAAGGTCCGCGCGGCGCCGCACCACGCTGACATAGCTAGGTTCATACAACAGGAGGTACTTATAATATTTCTATTAATTAAATTTTACTTTGTAAATTAATAAATTACTGTTATATTTTTATATGATATAAGGTGGAAAACGACCAAGCAGCCACCTGAATCCACCAAATGGAAAGCGACCGCTGCCCATAAACATCTGCAATTGCAGCGTTGCCTCTCCTTAACTGACGGAGGAGACACACATAAAGAGGACATTTCCTCTTCCTATGCGTATCCTCCACCGTCAAATCCACTTTTTCTTCCCATTCTTTCTTCTTCAGAAAAGGGTGGAAAGGATAAAGGACTAAAATTAGTCCATTAGTTATTCCAAATACCTCAATCTAATTTGAGGTTAAACATTTTTTAATTTTCGACTTTTCAAGTCTCTTAACTCCTAAATGTCTTACTTTTATCACATTTTTTTAGTATTTTCATATGTAAAACATATTAGGAAAGGCAGAAATTCTATTTAAACTTGTTATTTTAGGGTATAATCGCAGCTCGACGTAACTCTCTGCCCGGCTGGTTCTTGTCGGCCCCGCCCCCGCGGCCGCGCGCCCCGCCCCCCGCCCCGCCCTCGCCTTTACAGCAAGCTATACACGCTTTGCTACAAATCAAAGAAACCAGACCAATGTAAGATATTTTGTATGTAAGGCTCTAGTTTACTTTTTACTATCTATTATTAGTTTTAGTAAATGATTACAATTTTGTATATATTTTTTCCAGTGCACATATACCAAATATCAAGCCTTTATTGGATGAGGAAAGTAATTTATCAGACGCGCGAGTGATTTTCAACCTTGTGGACAGACATCTAAAGACTATGGAATCTGACGCTCAGTAAGGTTACTTTGTCTATTTATATTTCCCTTTTTTACTCTTTATTCAACTATGTTTTTCTTCTTATGAAATTTAAGATATTTTAATACTAAAATTGTTTTTTTTTTCAAGTTCTATGGTATTCATAGACATCCTGTTTCAAGAGCAGCGTGAATCAGTACTTACTAAACTAGCGCGTACCATCCTTCGACCATATCTTCCTTGGTCTAGGTGGGATATTGGTCAAGCGCTGGTTTTGTAATTTAAAAAAAAAAACAATCTGCGTCTTATCACAAATAACCAATTAGTTAGTGATTAGTTGCGCAAACGACGGGATAAAAATAAAAATCAAATAGCCGTTTATCGACCGACCATTTTTAAAACACCACCAAATTACCTCATAGTACAATCTGAGAACGGTCATATTTTTAATACTTGCTTTCGCCTGCGACTCCATCCGCGTTGTATTAAAAAATAAACATGTAGCCTACGAGTTTTTTAAACTTCATCTGTGCCATCATCGAGATCAATTCAATTTAGGCTATAAACTTTAGCAAACATCCATCTAAACTTTCGCATTTATAATATCACTAAGATCACACTTTACCACGGAACTTTATAATCTCTGCCTACACTAATGCATTTTAATGCTTTTAGGGTGTGGGTCCGCGAGGTGTCGCAGCTGTCGCAGCTGGACAGCCAGCTGCTGGAGCTGGTGCGGGCGCTGCGCGTGCGCCGCCCGCTGCCTGTCTACACCAGGTGGTGCGGGAACGACACCTGCAAACCTATCAAGATTGCTATACAGGTGATATTACTAGCTTTCGCCCGCAACTACGTCCGTGGTATTAAAAAAAGTGAATAGTCTTTGTGTTCTTCCAGATTATTCTCTACATTTAAAAAATTTCATCAAAATCCGCTCAGCCGTTTAGGTTATCAACTCTAACAAACATCCATCCATCTAAACTTTTGTATTTATAATATTAGTATGATAAGGTGGCAAATGAGATTTGCGAATTCGCCGAAATGGCGAAGAAACTATAGACGTCCGGAATTGAAGATGCGTCGCATACCCTTGATTAAGCGTGGTCTTATTATCTAAAACATCTTATCTTACTTATTACTTTACTATACTAATATAAATGTGAAAGTTTAGATGGATGGATGTTTGTTAGAGTTTGTAGACTAAACGGCTGAACGGATTTTGATGAAATTTGGCATAGACGTAGAGCATAGTCTGGAGGAACACATATGCTACTCACTTTTGTTTTATTTTTATTTCACGCGGACGGAGTCGCGGTCTATGCTAGTTGTTACATATTTAAATGACTGTTCAGTATTCGACCGTTAGTGTTTATGGAGGACCACTTACGGCCGGTCTCAATAACGCATCCTAGATCGGGAGATCGCTTCAATCGAGAAATAAAACGACCTGCTGGTTGATCACTAACCGGTGTCTCAATAACACCGGATAGCAAACATCAACCGATTTTCAAAATGGATCAGCGGGATCGATGTACTTTGTGAAGTTTCCTCCTGGCGTTCCATTTCAAGCAGATGTCATTATGACTGTGTTGTAAACCTATTGATGAATTTAAGAAAATATGCACATTTTTGGGTTTTGACGTACTAACTAATTATTAATTTGTTGCGTATTTTACGAATAAAACGTGTTTCAACATGTTCCAAGCAAATTGTCATCAACGAATACTCCCTTTTCGGAGTTTTGGTAGCGGTACGAGATCGTAATCAGAGGAATACATTGTCTGTCAATGTCATTTGACATCAGTTGTCAATGTTATTTACATCAGCTATTAATTTGAAATTTATATAGCTTCTATTCGTGTTTTTTTATAAACAATTAAATATTTATCATCGAAAGTGTAAGTGCAATGGTATGTATACTTTTATTGAGTTTTTGACATGTTTTTACTTTCTACACTTTTCAATAAACTTCCCCCGTGAAGATGCTTCAATTCGCGCCTAATTTGTATAAACCCTTTACATAGTAATTTCTTATTATTTCCAGACCTCAAGCAAGCCTCTTACGAAGGAGGACACGAAAACACTGCTTTCGTTCATTGAAAGCAGTGAAATTAAATTGACTTGATGATTGACTAATGCTACCACGAATAAATTGAAAAATGAAGAGTGGACACGGATAAGCGAAAAATTCAATGTTTGTTGTTGTTTGTTTACTTTATTGTACTACTATTTTTGTAATAATTAAAAACTTCATTTTTGTAACAAATATAAAAACTGTATTCTTGTAATAAATATAAAGGCTTGATTTTCGCAAAGTTTTTATTTGAAATACTACCATCGCCCTAAATGCATTTCTTCTTCGTCCCAGTCTGAAAGTTGCTCTAACACTTCCAAATCACTTTCACTATCAGCTATCACTATACGGCAACAAGCCATCCATTTTTTAATCTCATAATAAATTAGTAGAATCTTCCGATTTCCATAGATTGTAAAATAAAGATTGAGAGATGTGTCAAAATTCCAAAAACATTTATTGAAACACTGCAACTGTCACTTTCAAACAGAGGGCGATCCGAAAAGTGTTAGAAATCAGATTTTTCCCTCCGATAGATTAGTCATGTTTTTAGATCGAATTTCTATCGTTCGGTCGTTTATTGAGACAGTATTTCAAAAGATTAGGATACGGATTGAGATTTTCGATTGAAAAAATTGCATATTGAGACCGGCCGTAAATAAATAAAAAATAAAGAAAAAACTGCGTTGTTACAGTTTTAGTTCGTTAGTTATGAGTGTGAAAGGGTACATCGGTAGAGGTAACGTAAAAGGTGACAATCAAAAAAGGGAGTGATGACTGAGATGACGTATGATAGAGTTATGTGGAGGACAAAAACCTGTTGCGCCGCTACGGGAGTAGGATAAGGAGATGATGATGATGATGACGTTACAATTTTAGTTGTATTTTCATAGGGATACGAATGGGTGATATCAAGAGGTGCGGAAGAAGGTATCGAGCAAAACAGGTTTGTAGACATTTAACAGTATAAATAAAAATGTATGAATGTTTGAATAACGGTCCGTTTCTGGCAATAGGCGATGTGCATTAGCTGCTGTGCGCGTGCTGGCTCGCCCCAGACCTGCCACTGCTCGCGTTGCAGCCACACTGCAGTCATTGGCCAGGTAAGATATAAATAACTAAAATTATTCCAGACTTTGTTCTACATTTGTGCCTTTTAAAGTTGTTCAGCCTTTCTGGAGATACGTACTCATCGATCTAAACTTTCTCATTGTTATTACTAGATTTTTCCCACGATTCTGTCTACACTGTAATAAACAAAATTGAGTAGTCTGTGTGTTCTTCTATACTCTACATTTTTACCAAATTTTATCGTGATCAGTCGTTTAGGAGATAGTTCCAAAAAAAAAAAACATCCTGTTGCTCACGACATCGTAGAAGTTAAATTTAAAAATATAGTATATGTTACTCAGCGATAACGTAGCTTTCTAATGGAGAAAGAATTTTTAAAATCGCTCAGTAGTTTTTGAGTTATTTGAATACATACAAAAATACAAATCTAACACAACAGAGACAGCAATAGGTTTTTATGAGGTGTTAGAGTGAGATGCCTGCTTGTTTGAATGTTAAGTAATAAATGTGTGTTGCAGAGTGGTGCGCAGCCGCGAGACGGCGGTGCGCGTGGCGGAGCGCGCGGGGCGCAGCGCGGCCGCCGCGCACCGCTTCCCGCCCGCCATGGACGCCATCACCTCCCTCGTCACCTATCTTGCTGAGGTAATAACAAAACAACTTAATCTACTATATTTTTTGCATCTTTTAAGAATCTAACTGTATACTAGAACTTTCATCTATACCTTTGGTTGCGATATGTTTAAAAATTCTACATTGTCTAGTATAAGGATTGATCTAATTATAAATTACTACCTTCCGCCCCCGATTCCGTCCCCGTGGAATTAAAAAAACAAAAGTGAGTAGCATATCTGTTCTTCCAGATTATGCTCTACATCTATGCCATATTCCATCGATATTTGTTCAGCCTTTAGGCTACGAACTCTATCAAACATCCACTCATCCAAACTTTCGCATTTGTAATATTAGTAAGATACTGTAGGTTCCGAAGCAGAGCCTAAACCCTTTTATGCTTAACGCCCTTTTTTGAAGATCAGTTATTTTGTAATGTCTCCATTTTACGTTTGGAGTTTAATTATACCTCCAAATATATTATTGACTAATCTTTTCTTACCAGAGATAGTAACTTAGAGAATTAATATACTAAAGTACGTATATAGTGTTGGGTGTGCGAGGACGCGGAGGCGTGCGGGCGGCTGGTGCGCGCGTGGGCGGGGGGCGTGGCGCGCGC